ACACACACACACACACACACACACACACACACACACACACACACACACACACACACACACACACACACACACACACACACACACACACACACACACACACACACACACACCACACACACACACACACACACACACACACACACACACACACACACACACACACACACACACACACACACACACACACACACACACACACACACACATATAATCCACGCCTTGTAAAGGTCCTTGGTAAAATATTCTTTATATAATCCACGCCTTGTAAAGGTCCTTGGTAAAATATTCTTTATATAATCCACGCCTTGTAAAGGTCCTTGGTAAAATATTCTTTATATAATCCACGCCTTTGTAAAGGTCCTTGGTAAAATATTCTTTATATAATCCACGCCTTGAAAAGGTCCTTGGTAAAATATTCTTTTTATAATCCACGCCTTGTAAAGGTCCTTGGAAAATATTCTTTATATAATCCACGCCTTGTAAAGGTCCTTGGTAAAATATTCTTTATATAATCCACGCCTTGTAAAGGTCCTTGGTAAAATATTCTTTATATAATCCACGCCTTGTAAAGGTCCTTGGTAAAATATTCTTTATATAATCCACGCCTTGTAAAGGTCCTTGGTAAAATATTCTTTATATAATCCACGCCTTGTAAAGGTCCTTGGTAAAATATTCTTTATATAATCCACGCCTTGTAAAGGTCCTTGGTAAAATATTCTTTATATAATCCACGCCTTGTAAAGGTCCTTGGTAAAATATTCTTTATAAAATCCACGCCTTGTAAAGGTCCTTGGTAAAATATTCTTTATATAATCCACGCCTTGTAAAGGTCCTTAAAAATATTGTTTATAAAATCCACGCCTTGTACCACGCTTTTTTCAAGTTCAATGTCCCTTTTGTAATGTCCCTTTTTCAAATAACTAGTTCTTTGTAAGTGCTGATAACCAAACGGTAAGATTTCACGGCAACTCAAACCTTCATATTCGCACAAGTGTGCGAATATTTTTTTCTAAACTTGGTTAACTTGTTGTTGCTCTGTTATTCATTCAACTTGACCTTGACAATAATGTTTGAAATAATGATATTTTGTTTTTTATTTTTTGCTATTTCGATTCGATTTATTCACAATATTTTTTTTTCGTTTTGTAACACAAATCATTTGAGAAATCGGAATAAATTCCGTAATCAATTTATTTATTGATTAAATCGGACATACATAACATGTACAATGTAGAGATATGTAGATATGTGTGTTAGTTTGTATTTTCATGTCCATATTTTATATTAAAAATCAATTATAAATATACAGTGTGTAGCGAAAAATGGTCATATGGATGGACAGATTATAGGTGTCTTAAATCCACACCTTTTACTTGTTAAAAATATTAAACTCCCCCCTGTGTTTGTTCAATTTACATTGCATTACGATATTCAGCATCTTTTAAATCGCTTCACCTTATATTGTGTGTACTCTATTTTGGCACTAACTGTATATGTTAGCATGTTTGAATACAGCTTAACTGCTGGCGAACAAAAAAATGTTTTGCATGTTCTGCGACAGTTGTTGTGTTTTGCAAATAGTTTTATAATTGAATATCGAGTTTAAATAAGAAGTATTGACGTAGACTTAGTGTTCGACTCTATTAATAATCGTTGTTGACAGCAACAGGGCATACTTTCCGCAAACATTGTCTGGAGGAGGTTGTATATATGAATATAAATCAGTTTGTATTTTTTGTTTCGAATATATTAATTCTGATAGAAGAAATATTATCAAGGTCTGTCCTCAATAAAATATTCTTTAAAAAATACATTCCTTGTATAAATCCTCAAAAAAAAAATTCTTTAAAAAATACATATTCTTTAAAAAATCCACGCCTGGTAAAATATATTCTTTAAAAAATCCACGCCTGGTAAAAAATATTCTTTAAAAAATCCACGCCTGGTAAAAAATATTCTTTAAAAAATCCACGCCTGGTAAAAAATATTCTTTAAAAAATCCACGCCTGGTAAAATATATTCTTTAAAAAATCCTCGCCTGGTAAAAAATATTCTTTAAAAAATCCACGCCTGGTAAAAAATATTCTTTAAAAAATCCTCGCCTGGTAAAAAATGTTCTTTAAAAAATCCACGCCTGGTAAAAAATATTCTTTAAAAAATCCACGCCTGGTAAAAAAATTATTTAAAAAATCCACGCCTGGTAATGGTTCTCAAAAAATATTGTTTAAAAAATGTACGGCCTTATACGCCTTACTCGTCCTTCGATCTGGTCACTTGATAAATTCAGGGGCTTTAATAAAAAATTTTTGATAAATGCTATTTGTTTCTGATTTATTTTTTCAATTCTCCAAATCTTTAACCTAATTCGACAATTTGCGTTCTGAAAAAAACAATCCCCGTTCTTTTTGTTTACTCTATAAAAAAACTACTTAGTCATGTGCATAAAAACAAACATTTTTGGTAAATTTCCTTTTCCTCCTCCTCTTATCATTAAAATTTCTATAACAAAATCTCCAATTGGTCTGCCCGGCTAAACCGGCCTCCTAAAATACGATGTTCTTTTCTAATCTCTGACACATGAATGAATCTGCTTTCTTTGTGCATTGAAACAAATCCATTCATTGATAACACAAATAAAAATAGAAAACCCTACGAAAAGATAATTTCAAATACATTTTTGCACTGTCCGCCAGACGTCTGTCATTGTTTCAGAGTATTATTGTTATCAGCTGTATATATGGAAAGATTTTATGATAGAATAGTTCCGAACAGGTCTTAACTGAATATTACATTGACATTAGCATTATCAAGGGATAACAAAGGTGAACATGCGAAATGGTTTCAACGATGTTAAAAAAATCGTGTCGAAATTTGAAGAGATATGAGAATAATTTCGTATAAGCTTGATTGTTTTGGGTATGAACGAATATTGAAAGTAATGTTTTTTCATATATTTCCGATTCAATAAATAATAAAGACTCATTTATGGGAGTCGATAAAGCCTCCTTTATAGGAGTCTATAAAGACTACTTCATATGAGTCTATAAAGACTACTTCATAGGAGTCTATAAAGAATCCTTTATAGGAGTCTATAAAGACTCCTTTATCGGAGTCTATAAAGACTCATTTATAGGAGTCTATAAAGGACTCCTTTATAGGAGTCTTTAAAGGACTCCTTTATAGGAGTCTATAAAGGACTCCTTTATAGGAGTCTATAAAGACTCCTTTGTAGGAGTCTATAAAGACTCCTTTATAAGTCTTTATAGGAGTATAAAGACTCCTTTATAGAGAGTCTATAAAGACTCCTTTATAGGTGTCTCCTTTAAAGGAGTCTATAAAGATTCCTTTATAGGAGTCTATAAAGACTCCTTTATAGGAGTCTATTCCTTTATAGGAGTCTATCTCCTTCATGGGAGTCTATAAAGACTCCTTTATGGGAGTCTATAAAGACTCCTTTATGGGAGTCTATAAAGACTCCTTTATGGGAGTCTATAAAGACTCCTTTATGGGAGTCTATAAAGACTCCTTTATGGGAGTCTGTAAAGACTCCTTTATGGGAGTCTATAAAGACTCCTTTATGGGAGTCTATAAAGACTCCTTTATGGGAGTCTATAAATACTCCTTTATAGGAGTCTATAAAGACTCCTTTATAGGAGTCTATAAAGACTCCTTAATAGGAATCTATAAAGACTCCTTTATAGGAGTCTATAAAGACTCCTTTATAGGAATCTATAATGACTCCTTTATAGGAATCTATAAAGACTCCTTTATAGAAGTCTATAAAGACTCCTTTATAGGAATCTATAAAGACTCCTTTATAGGAGTCTATAAAGACTCCTTTAGAGGAGTCTATAAAGACTCCTTTATAGGAGTCTATAAAGACTCCTTTATAGGAGTCTATAAAGACTCCTTTATAGGAGTCTATAAAGACTCCTTTTTAGGAGTCTATAAAGACTCCTTTATAGGAGTCTATAAAGACTCCTTTATAGGAGTCTATAAAGACTCCCTTATAGGAGTCTATAAAGACTCCCTTATAGGAGTCTATAATGACTGCTTTATAGGAATCTATACAAACTCCTTTATTGGAGTCTATAGGGGCTTCTTATAGTAGCCTCTAGTTAATGTATTCGTGTAGTCTAGAATTTTCTCCAAAGTTTATATCACATTGTTATAAATATTTAAGACCTATCTTCATAGTGCTACTCCAGAAACTACTGAAATATATTTGCATATTTTTCCGCATCCAAAACCAATTCATAATAGTAATGTTTGTTATTTTTAACACAACAACGATCTATCAAATACATCGGATCGGAAGTTAATTAGCTTTGCAAATAGAGTCATAAACTAATGCATTTCAAGTGTGAATTTATGGTTGTAAAATGAATTGACAACCAGAACTACAAATCTACATATATATATTTAACAAGAAACAAATCAACAAAGTGTACTCACAGACTTCCGAATAATTTGAATTTACGCTTGAATATTTTGCGAAACGAACGAAATGTATTCTATTAACCTTGTTTGGAAAATTTGCATATGAATTTTTATGTGGTATTAATGATGGATGGTGTAAACTGGATATTGATTTAATAGGATTTGTTCTTGAATTTTTATTTCATTTCATTTGCGTATCTTGCTTATTACTACGGAAACCCCAACACTTGCGTAAACTCTTAAAAAAACAAAGAAAAAGAAAATAAATATTATTATTTGGAATTTTTTTTATAACTAAAGAAAATTTGTATTATTATTATAAACATAGTATGTGAAACACAACTTATTACAAAAATATATAGTTTGTTTAATATTAAATGTACCAAATGAAACAATGAAAAAAGAAAATAAATTAATAGTATTGTGTATAGAATATCAGTTCATTATTATTATGCTGCTTTCCATTTTTTTATTCTACCAGTAAAATAGAATGTCAACATATCTCAACTAACCGTGATCGATGTTGGTTACTGTCTCTCTCTCCCACTCTCAGCCTTTGCCTTACATATGAATTTCATATTTGGCCCTGTCAACATCGGGCCCATTCATCAAAAATGCATTTATGTACATTTGTGTTAGCACAAAGACATCATGATTTTTAAGAAATTCATAATCATCTGCATCCAAGGGACATTTTTTGACATCGACAAAACAATGAGTGGCTGTGGAGGCGATATTCGGACACGAACTGTATGGCGTTGTGGCCTCAACAATTTCACCCTTTCCAGCTTTAATAACATTTTTCAGAGCATCAACATTACGATTACTAATACGTAGTATAGCCCGAATACCGGTGAATGCTCCCAATATGGTACCAGACAAATCTTTACGCCAACGATGTGCCGCCGTGGCAATAACCTGTTCGTCAGGTGTTAGCTGTGGCAAATTGAGAGCTTTACAATTACCCCATTCATAAAGTTCTTCATCAATGAATACATCCTTGGCAAAGCATTCTTCGATGTACTTCAAACTGAGAACCCATTTTCCCGATGATATGCAGCCAAGCATTTTTTCACCACGATTGGGTTTTTCGCATACGAAATGTGTACAGTCGGGATCGAAGTTGACCAAATTTTCACAGACCTGAAAAAAGGAAGACATTTAATTAATAAGTATGTTACACTATAAACACCTTTAAAAAAGCCAATAAAGACTTCTATAGAATCCTAAAAATATTCCATTATAGGAGCCTAAAAGATTCCTTCGTAGAGGCCTATAAAGACTTCCTCATAGGAGCATACAAAATACTGCTTAATAGGAGTATGTAAACCCTTTCCTATAGGAACCTATAAAAAATAATCTTAAGAAATCTCAAAAGACTCCTTCATAGAAGCCTAAAAGACCAAATAGGTTCCTATTGTCTACTTCATAGGGAGTTTATCAATAATCCTTTATGGGAGCTTATAAACCCTTTACAGGATCCTATAAATACTCCATTATAGGAGTCTATAAATATTCATTTATATGAGCCTATAGTGTCTCCTTTATAGGAGCCCATAAAGACTCCTAAATAATAACTTATCTGGAGTCTATCTGCACTCCTTTTATGAGCCTACAAAGGGCACTTTATAAAAGCATATAAGGATTTATTTATAGGAGCCCAAAAAGACTTATCGGAAAAACTGTTTGATAGGGGTTTAATAAATCCACGCCCTATCATAGGCCTTGAAAAAATAATCTTAAATAAATCCACGCCTATTATAGACCTTGAAAAATTACTCTTAAATAAATCCACGCCTATTATAGACCTTGAAAAATTACTCTTAAATAAATCCACGCTTATAATAGACCTTAAAAAATATTGGTAAATAAATCCACGCCTATTATAGACCTTGAAAAAATAATTTTAAAAAAATCCACGCTTATTATAGTCCTTGAAAAAAAAATCTTAACAAATCCACGCCAATTATAGACCTTGAAAAAATAATCTTAAATAAATCCACGCCCTATTATAGACCTTTAATATTATAGACCTTGCAAAAAATATAAAAAATCTACTTTATAGCTGACTAATTTATAGCTGCCTTGAATGACTTTTAATACAGTTTTTTTTCTTCAACTTACCTCACCACCCAATTGTAATATTTTTGAAATTATATCATCCCGTGTCTCCTCATCGGAACATGAAATACTGAAACGTGGTGTACCTTGATATTGCATAGATGGTGCCACCTGACGTGCCTTACGTTGGGCATGAAATTCAGTGGGATCACGCCACCCGACCATATCTTCCGTTTGTAATTGTTCCGATTCGAAGGGTTGGACATAATGTGCCTCCGTTTCCATCGACTGTACGGTAGACTGTTGATGATCACTGCTGAGACGTGTGCGTTTTAAACTTTGACGCCGCGAATCACAATTACGTAAATATTCGGTAATTTGTTTAAGTTCCGGTGATGTACCCATTGGCAATGAAGGTCTAGCTGTGACACTGCTTGTGGCATTCGTTGTAGTGGTAGCTGCAGGATTTTCTTCTAAATTTGTTTCCTCAAAACTGATTTTATCAAAATTGATGGTGGACTTGCCCACACCACCTAAAGATGCCCTTTGACCTAATCCACTTGGTGATGCTTGCGACATACTTCGCCTAGTCGCCGATGTATTTGGACTTTGTGTACCGGGTATGAATGTATCCGATTTTCTAGTTTCATTTGAAGGTATATTAAAAGTGGAGACAGTCTTCTGGTGATCGGGGGTATTGTTTTGTGCAAAAATCGATCTTGGTGCAATGGAGGAGGCACTTCGCAAACTTTTGTTATTCAGCGGAGTCGTATCTAGATTCGATTTTGATGAAATAGATTTTCGACTACTTGATGCCTTCTCCTCTTCATCATCACTATAAGGAATACCCATGGCTTTACATGTAGCTCTTAGCACACGTTTACGTATTTCATCGATGGGTGTATCGGGTTTCAACTTTTTGGTTGGCAGACGCCAACGTCTTTCGAATTCATCAGCCATACGTTTTTCAAATTCTGGTGTTGTACAAAAATCCGGTATACCTTTGGGTGTAGGTATTTTACGATTTATGGGTGTACAAGCCTGTCGGCGTATCCTCTCCAATTCAGGAGTTTGATTATTTTTCATTTCATTTATGACCTCGCGTAGACATTCTCGCTCCTCTTCATTTTCAATTTCTGCCAAAATGTTTTCCATAAAATCAAAATTATACGAAGCCTTTGCATAATTATTTGTGGGAGTGTGAGGCGAATCGGGAGCGGAGAGACTTGTGTTGGCACCTAACGATTGTCGTGTTACTCGACCCGGACCAGCCAATTCAGAAACTCGTTTATTACGCAATGGGGTAAATGTATCGGCAGCTGGGGGATTATTATCCACATCGGTTAGTGTGACACTACCTTGATTATTTTCAACACCATCCACGTCCATCGATTGTGGCGTCTGAGGTGGAGGTGGTGGTGCATGATTTATTGGTGTTTTAGGTGCATTTTTCTCAACCGTTTTTCTTGTTGAATTTTGTGTTGTATTACGTTCACGTAGCGTAGGTGATAGAGGGAAATCTTCTGGACTTTCTCCCACGAGGAAAGGGCCATATGCTACCTTTTTACCCTCTTCGGCACATTTTATTAACCATTCGGATGTTACAACGGGATAACGCCATTTAAGAGCTCCTTCATATTTTGATCCTTCGGGTGAGGGACATATGAGCAGCGGCCGTTCTTTCTTTACAAATGTCTTATTGACATTGGCACCCAACAATTGGGCAATCGAATCAATGAAATCTCTTTCCAATAGGGAATAAATGGAAATGACAATTGTCATGCCTTGTAGAGGTTGTTGGTCTGCAGTGTGGGGTATATGTTTGTGATAATATTCAATGGGTATTAATTTGTTGACTTTCATACAACTTTCCTGGAATAAAGAAAGGGAGAACTTTAGATTTCCAGGGATTCAATTGAGGGTAGGGATTACAAGGTGATACTTACAACATATAATTCGGTTACAATATTCCTTGCTTTTACAGGCAATTTCGCTGCATCCAAAGTACTTTCAAAAGACACAATGGCATAGTCCACGGGATCACGAAATGTGGCTGGAACAATATTGCCCTGCGCCGCCTCACATTCACTAATCATCTGAGTGTAGAATTCTTCGGGGAAATGTTCCTTGTCTATGTACAAAGACATGCCTTGGAAGAAATCTAAATTTTCATAATCAATGGTAAAACCCGATGCATCTGTTAGATTCGAGTTCTGAGCTTGTGGTGCTGCTGTGGCTGGAGTGGGAGCTGGTGCTTTTGCTTTGGGCGCCGGTTCAGCTGGTGCACATTGTGTCGATGAAGCCATAGGATGTGACATTGTCTCATCCGGTAATATGGTTACATTTTGTGGTAAGGGGACGGGTGCCTGGGCAACATTTTCCTGAGAATACTGCGAAATCAAATCATGTTCTTCAGCCTCTGATGGCAAATCAGTTTTAGGGGTTTTCGCTGCATCACTTTCGCTGTCCATATCATTTTCGGAATCTTTTGAAAATAGTTTCTTTTTAATTGGTTTATCGGGTTGTTTGAAACTATGATTCATTGATCGCAATGTTTTCTTTGATGAGGGTGAAGGGGCGTCGGGCTCTCGTGATGTGGGTAGGGATACACGATATACTGCCTCGGATGCAGTTTGTTTAATCTTTATACTTTCCAATAGCCAATCCAAGCGGACAATGTGAATGCCTGAAATGAAGTGAAAAGAAAACCGATTACAAATTTTAAAATTTAAAATGTCGTATATTTTCCGGAGAGTGAAGTCCTTTTAATATTTATAAAAACCACAAAACTATTCATATAAATTAACAACAAAATCTCTTACCCGTCAATAGATTATCCTTTTTCCAAGCTTTAAATTCATTATCATCCAATTGTCCAACAATAATGTGTGTTATTTTCTCATTGACAACATCATAACGTGTTGCACCGCCAGCATTTAAAATACGATTTAACTTTTCGCGCTCCTCCGCACGAAAACCGCTCAAATAAATACAACAGCCATCTAAAAAGTTTCCAGCTTTCTTCGCTTGTTTGGGACAAATCTCTTCATAGACCATACGATAATGGGCACTCGAACCTGCCTTCTTCAAGAGATCTTTTTTCAAGTCTTTGGAGACTGGATTAACGGGTGCCACAAATGTTGGTGCACTATTTACTGTTTCATTGAGAGTGGAACATATGGTATCATTTACTGCGTTTCTACCAGAACCTGCGGTACTTATACGTGATATATCGCTATTATCCGACACAGTAAAATCTGCCAAACTTTGATCGGTTTTTGTTGGTGTCGACACTTTCAACGATTTGACTTGATATGGTTTAGTTGGTAAGGCGAAACCTTTTTGCACGCTATCAAATATCCATTCGGGGCAGAGAATGTCTTTTTTGTAACGAACGGCAGCTGCATATTTATCGGAATTTGTTTTATTCTTTTCGGTAATGACAATGTCCACTAATTGGGATCTAAAGGCACGGTGATAGGTGCCGCCATTTTCATTGACCAAACGCATTACCTAAAAGTAAACCCAGAAAAACATTTCAATAATTTATATAAATGCTATGTCTCCATTAGTTCTAGTTATACCTTTTCTTTCTTCTCACTATCCAATCCGGTACACGTTATATTTGTTTCAAAAAATATGGGCAATTTATATTTATCGAATTCTTCATCGGTGGCAGAGACCTGGGCAGCACAGCTACGTTCCCACACCCGTTGAACCCAATCGACATGCATCACCGGGATGCCATTTAAGGTTGCATGTTCATATTTTGTTGATTTTATGGTATTCGATATTAAATGCGTTACAGATCTACCGAAGTTTTGAAAAAAATGCCCACCCATCCATTGGATTAAATTCTTTAGTTTATCCTTTTCCTGGGCCGTAATACCAGTTGCCGATATCTGCAAATCTCGCATGGCACATGTAAACACTGGACTGGTACCCAGTGGTATTTGTTGATCGTTCAACAGACATTGTGTAAGGCATGGTGGTCCAATAATCAACGACTTGGTCAGCTGAAGCTGTTGAAAGAAATCACCCTCGAAACGATCGAATATAAATACATCTTTCTTGGTTAGCCTCCCAGAGGCTATCAGAGGGAAACCTTCACTGGCCTTGATTTGTCGTATATTCTCCTCTGGAATGTGATTTTGTAAATAAGTCAATGACTTCTTGAAGTCTTTGATGGCCTTCTCATCGCTGTCATTGGCCGGAGCATTGATGGTTGTAACGAAATAGGCATTAATGGAATCGTCTAAACTCATTTAGAACAAGACGAGGCAAATCAAATTTAGCACAATTTCTTTTCTGGAATATTTAAAATTTTAATGAATTTTTGCACAATTTTCGTTTTCGCTTTTCTGAAGTTGTGTCTCTCCTCGTTTTCTACTGACAGCAGTTTGGTTGCGCCAAATTGAATTCACCAACTGTCAGTAATTGCAAACAACACAGGGTTGTATTTGTGTATAGCAGAAAATGTTGCCATATCTTGATTTTTTGTGACACTGTGACACAACCATTTTGTGTTGCAGGTTGTAAATAATTAATTTGAATAATTTACATAAAAAACGGAAATAAATGCTATGTTTGTTCCAGAATATTGTCATGGCGGTACCAAGGTATATAAAACCTTTAACTACTTCGAAGCTGTAGTTCTCAAGTTCCACAGTTGGTCCGAGTATACTGGACGCCTTGCGTGTTGATACCATCAGCTTGGTCCTTTCCGATTTTAAATGATGACCTTGTACCACTTAAAGTAATCCTGCATAGCTGCATTAATTTTGCAGGAATGCCGAACGTAGACATGGCTTTAAACAATACGAATAGGCTGTATGTGTCGATGTTTTTTTCGTGGGTCTTTTCGAGGATTTGGCGCAGAGTGAAAATCTGGTCAATGAGGGATTTTCCAGGTCTGAAGCCGCATGGGATGGGAAGAAGGCTAATTCCTCTATAGTTAACACATATCATCTTGTCTCCTTTTTGTGCACGGGAAACAGGATGCTAAAGTTCCAATCATTGGACATGCATTCCTCTAGCCAAATTGTACTAATCAGCTGGTGCATGCTCATCTTGGCTAGGTGGTATACACTCTATACCATCAGGTTGCCTTATACGCTGTGTTGACGTACAAATCTTTTAAAAAATGCACTCCTATGTCCCTCGGAGATCTGGTGTACAAATATTTAAAAAAATACTCGCCTATGTCTCTCGGAGATCTGGTGTATAAATATTTTGAAAAATCTACGCCTATGTCTCTCGGAGATTTTGTGTACAAATCTTTTAAAAAATCCGCGCCTATGTCTCTCGGAGATTTGGTGTAGAAATCTTTTAAAAAATCCGCGCCTATGTCTCTCGGAGATTTGGTGTAAAAATCTTTTAAAAAATCCACGCCTATGTATGATGAAAGTTGTTAATAAAAATATTCTTAAAAAATCCACTCGTTTATCTGAAGAAGATGTTAATAAAAATTTTCTTAAAAAATCCACGCCTTTATCTGAATAATTTGTAATAAAAATATTCTTAAAAATTCACGCCTATATCTGAAGAATATTTTAAAATGTTTTAATGTTAATCCTTAATGGATTTTGGGAAGAAATCGTAACCTTTCATGCACTTTTCGCGTTTTTAAATATCAAATAAAAACAACCTATTTGGCAGAAGAAGCCACTACCTAAATAGTTTTTTGTTACTCACCTCAAGCTGTCCTACCTTGTATTATTTTACCATGCCCGGCCCTATGTCTAATGAAGTCCCTTTAAAAGTTCCTTCAACGAATAAAGCCATCATGAGTTGCCATAAACAACACAAATACTATCTCTTGACATTTTCCAATTGGAATTGTTTCCCATATGGCAACGTCATTAACAATTTGACAACAATGACTTAACAGCTGAACAGGGTTACCATGCTCTCCCTCTCTCTCCCGGAGGCAAAACTACACTATATTTTGACATTTGTGTTGCATTGGGAAAAATTAATCGAACACGTCAGCTAGGGTCATCAAAAGAATAATTTTTCACAAAATTATAAGCGAAAAAATAAGAAAAACCTTAACAAAAAGGAACCACAATTGACAACAAACGATAAAAATTAAAGAAAAACAAAATGGTAAGTTGAAAATCTCTTTGTGAAGTTGACACAAAAACAAATAACATTCCGGAAGGCTGATGGCTTGTGACTGTGTGGTTGGTTAATAAATTTTGATTGGTTACAGGTTCTTATTGCGGCAGCGGTGTGTACCAAAAATGGAAAAGGTTTGTTGTGAAAGGTGCTTCCTTTAAATTTCAAGTGGTATTTAATTATTTGTCTTTTTTATTTTAGTTATCATTTCACGTCAATTTGTGGAGATGACAAAGGCCCGCATTGAGGGTCTGTTGGCAGCATTCCCCAAGCTGATGACAGCAGGCAAACAGCATACATACGTGGAAACCGACTCGGTGCGTTATGTCTACCAACCCATGGAAAAGTTGTATATGCTTTTGATTACCACCAAGGCAAGTAATATTTTGGAAGATTTGGAGACATTGCGTCTGTTCTCCAAGGTCATACCGGAATACTGTCACACATTGGAGGAAAAGGAAATTCTGGACAATGCCTTCAATTTGATTTTTGCCTTTGATGAAATTGTTGCATTGGGCTATAGAGAAAGTGTTAATCTCGGACAAATTAAGACCTATGTCGAAATGGATTCCCACGAAGAGAAATTGTATCAAGCCGTTAGACAAACCCAGGAACGTGAGGCTAGACAGAAAATGCGGGAAAAGGCTAAGGAGTTGCAGAGACAACGTATGGAGACAGCTAAACGCGGTGGGCCCATGGGCGGTGGTATGGGTGGACGCTCCAGTGGTGGTTTCAGTGCTGATGGTTTTGGGGCCAATACCACCAGTATGGGTATGGGAGGTGGTATGGGCAGTGGTGTGGGACCATCCATTGAAATGGATAAACCAATTGCTCCTAAACCACAGTAAGTTAAATGCAACATTTTTTTTAAATAGAAATAAATTAAAAAAAAATCTTCGCTTCTAGGAAACCCGTTTCTCGCAATGCCTTGAAATTGGGTGGTAAAACTAAGGATGTCGACAGCTTTGTGGAACAGTTGAATAGTGAGGGTGAAAAAATTGCCAAACTTACACCGGCCGTCAGTGCGGCAAGTTCTGCTGTTGCCGCCGTTAAAGCCAAAATCATCTCTGATGTTCACATGGAAAGTATACATTTGAAAATGGAAGATAAATTGGTGGTACGCATTGGTCGTGATGGTGGTCTCCAGCAATTTGAATTATCGGGTCTATTGACATTACGTATTTCGGATGAAAATATGGGCCGTATTAAGGTAGCCTTGGAAAATAATGATGCCCATGGTATACAATTGCAAACACATCCTAATGTCGATAAGGAGCTGTTTAAGACACGTTCGATTATTGGTTTGAAAAATCCCGCCAAACCATTCCCATTGAATACAGATGTTGGTGTATTGAAGTGGCGCTTTGTAACACAAGATGATTCAGCTATACCATTGACAAGTGAGTTTGGAAAATTTTTGTTAAATAAGAATTTATAAGGGGCCTAACTAGGGGCAGGAAGAGAAGGGGAAATTCTAATTTAACTACCTTGGCTCAACACCAAAAGTTTCATTTAATCTTCTATATGAAGACTTTGACCTTTCATATGAGGACCTAATTAATCATATATTGTGGTCTTTCAGATAGTCTTCTTAAAGAAGACCAAAGAAGTACCCCTTGACCTCTTTTAAATTACCTTTTTCCCTAAGACGACCTTTTGGACATCCATAATAACACCTTCTTGTCTTCCATAATACGACCTGCTGGTCTATGGTCCTTGAAAAATATTCTTTTAAAATCCACCCCTTCTATGGGCCTTGAAAAAATATTCTGTAAAAAATCCACCCTTCTATGGGCCTTGAAAAAATATTCTTTAAAAAAATCCAAACCTTGAAAAAATCTTTAAAAAATCCACGCCTTAGAATTTTATTAATCAATCAATTTTTTTTTATTTTATCCCACAGTTAACTGCTGGCCTTCGGAAAATGGTGAGGGTGGGTGTGATGTCAACATTGAATATGAATTGGAAGCTCAACATTTGGAATTGCAAGATGTTTCTATTGTTATACCATTGCCGTAAGTAAAAAACCCCAAAGACCTACAACTAATAATACTAGCGTCCTCGATTCCGAACAACCGAAATAATTTCCCCTTCTATTTTATTTCAGCATGAATGTTCAACCCCAAGTAGCCGAATATGATGGCACATACAATTACGATGCCCGTAAACATATTTTACAATGGAATATTCCTGTTATTGATGCTTCAAACAAATCGGGAGCTATGGAATTCAGTTGTAATTCATCTATACCTGGTGATTTCTTCCCAGTACAGGTGAGACAAAATTACATCACATTAATCATGAACATATCATGAATTAAATAATTATTATTAATATTTTAGGTTTCATTTGTATCGAAAACGCCATATGCTGCTCTGAAAGCTAAAGATGTTGTCTTGGTCGATAATGATGAGCCTGTGAAATTCTCAACAGAAAATATTCTCTATGCAGATAAATATGAAGTTGTTTAAGGTCATGGTTGAAAATTACACCATACGATTTTTTTATAGGAATATCAATAACAAAAAATAATGCAATGTCTCTACACCTAGGATTTTGTCCTACCAAAATTGAAAAGAGGATAGATTAATAATAATAGAATAATTGATTTATATATTATTCTACTAATTCCTTACCAATCATAATTATGTTGATTTTGGAAACAAAAATCCTTGGTAATGTTTTGTTTTAACACATATATACATAATTCCAAAAAATGCTTTGAAATCATCATTTGTCTTTGTAGTCTTTTTTTGTCTTCTTTTTTTTTGTATGTTAAAAACATAGAATTTTAAGTTTCTCTTGTATTCCAAAACCACAGAGAGAGCTATTGTTTGCAAAAGATCGCGTATTATTCCTCTCTGCTCTATACACTATATATCTATATGAAATTAAGAATATTCGATTTTTACATAAACGCGTTTATTATCATTTATATTATTATACAACTATATATACAAATAATAATAATAAAAAAAAAAACAATATTCCACAAAATGAAATAATTTTATAAAAATTAAAAACATTGTAGCTATTAAATTACACACAAAAATCATAAATAAATGATAAGAAAAAAAAACAACAACAACGAAAATATGTTTTCTTTTTTGAAAGTTGATAAGGATAGATAAAAAGGGTTTGTATGTTGTGGGTGGTGGTAATGACGTACGAAATGTTCGTATCACAGTTCCCAACAGTTTTGATTTGTACTTCCGCTTTGACACCGCACATATTTTGCCTCCTAAGCAACAGAGGAGTAGACCTTAGTATTCCAATATAAATAACCTGCTGGTCTTCAGAGAGATTCTTGCAATCAAGAATACATCAGAAATAATCAAGGGGATATGTATTATTGATTCCGGACCGGTGACAATAAATGTCGATACTCAAGCGGGCCTAAAAATGTTGGAGTTGTTCATGACAGACTTAACAGCTGGAATATACGTTAGTTTTTAGACTTTGTTGTTGTATCGCAGTTAATCAATGCAGCAATTGTTGTTACTTACCAAACCCCATATTTTACCTGCTACTTTGGTAGGTTAGGTAACCTAACCTAAAATATTTATTTAATATCACCTCCTTAACCAGTAGAAAAGTTTTCTCTGTAGGTTAAGTTCGAATTTTGGTAATCAAATGTAGGTAATTATTACTTCGTCGTTTTTTTTTAATTGACACCAATAGACATTAAAAAAAACATGGGTCGCAGTGCAACTTTGGAGACCCATATCTCCGGAAATCTAGATTCCGCAATAAAAAGGGAACAAATTCACCTCTCAGATCATTTTGATAGGTAGTCCTTCTGATGCTGATTACAACAACACAAATTTGTTCGGAGGGAAATCAGTACATCCCGAGATATGGGGCTTCCAAAATTACCCCCTCCCTCATTTTATTAAATATCATTATGAATACCATTCCGAAACGTTTGAAAATTTTACTGCAGATAATAATTTTATTGTTGATCACGTGAACTTCAACTTCCGGAAATTTAAGGTATCAAAATTAAAATACTTATGGTGGAAACATTCCCCGAAAGGGCCTTAATCTACACTTAAGCCGAGATATTAGGCTGTCTCATCAAGTTTTACATCGTCGGTCTGAAGGTCTTAAACGGCATATACAATACAACTTTTTTCCGGGTTAAACTACTTTATGAGGATTTATTTGACATATATGCAAAGGAATTGACAATTGAAACCCACTGGGTCAACGAAATCCGGTTAAATGTAAACGTACTATTAGGCCCTCGATAATTTATTCAAACTACAAGCAACATGGAATACCATTTCAAAAAAAGTTTTACATAACTGAAATGCTCACCACCGCTGAACATGTTCCAGTGATTTCATGTCAAATAGAAGATCCTTGCTGGTTCTGGAACAATGCATGTGTTTGAAATGCGGCATTTTAACCAATGATTTTGGATATTTTATAGCAGTAGGCTTTTCAATATCAAAAATATCCCTTATTTAGTAGTCTATATATTGCTGAAAATTTTGGAATCCTTTGTTTTTTAAATACTATTTTAATAAAATTAAAAATAGTTCTAAAATCAGATTATTCCATTTCCATTAGCCCAATTTGCACAATTCGATAAATTGATTAGTTAATAATCGACTTAGGTATCCCTACAGCAGATGGGCAATGTGAGAGAGAGAAACTTGGGAGAGAATAGTCGATTAATAAACAAAAAAGACAATTTTGTCATAAAGTTAATACGGATTTAATAAATTCTTTTTATATAAAATACATTAACAAACTTTAGAAACATTGCAATGGAACAACAATTAGAAAAAGCTTTAAAAGAAATGTAAGTTAATGAAAATCATCATGTATCAATTAAATTTTAATGGATTTACTTCCATAGCAATTCGCAACCTGATACTGTGGGATGTCTGATAACAAATCGTCAGGGTCTTTGTCTGGGAGGTAGGTTATTATACAAAAAGTTCCATTTCCATGTTTACTTAACATATTTTTTAATATTTATCACATAGCCGCCGGTAAAATAAATCCCAAAATGTCGGGCATTGGTATGGCCCTGTCGGAGCAGGCATGTAAATTGGAACCAAATCTAAATCCACCCACTATTGTCTTATACAGTGGGAATAAGTAAGTAAAGGTTCATGCATGTACAAAACAGGAGTTTCCACTTGGATTGCTTTTCACAATAGGTAGTCCTTGTTGTATCTACCACAACGACAAAAAGTTCTTTGGGACAAGGGCTTTGGAAATTCCAAAAATAATTTGTTTATCTGTAACATTAGCCATTAGCCAATAATCTTTAAATCTATATAGTTTCCTTGATTCCATAGTAATAATATACTATGATAAAAGTTACACAATTTAGGAACTTCCAATGCCAAAAACATTAAATAATGCCCATAAGTTTTTAGTACACTAAGACTACCAATTATAAAGTGGAAAGGCCCCTGATATGTACAGGAATATTAATTTAGCTTTTTAATTCATTTCCTTTAATTTATTTACCTCCTTTCCAGACGCTGCATAATCCAAAAGGATGGCGAAATAACCGGGGTTATTTATAAGGAAAGCACGAACTAGTTCCTTTTATGGACAATGGCAATGTTGTGAGGGCACAATATCCCATTTAACTCATTTCAGAATGAAAAATATTTCATAACTCTCATGGAAAAAATCCAACGAGATTTGAAAAGTAATTTCCATTCTTGCGAGTTAATTATGATATTTGTTGCCAATTGGCTTCTCGGTATGACTCACTCAATCGTTCAATGCTTCCATTTGTGATTAAATGTTAATTAATATTAATAATATTTAATTTACTTGTAATAATTCTATTTCTATATATAAATATGTAGTTTTAAGCTTTAACAATATCATATTTTGCATCTCTATATCTCTCTATACAAGAACAACAAAAACCATTGTATAAACAACAAAAAATATTTCTGAAAAAATGTATATTTTTTCGATACTTTGTAGAGTGAAATAAATCAAATAAAATTAAATTTAAATACCACAAGAGCTTTATTGAATAGAAATGTGTATGAAGTGATTTGATAGACCAATACAACATATTAAATAATTATTTTTTCAAGGACCAAATGATGAGGTGTTTTTTTTTCAAAAATATTTTTTAAGCTTCATTACAAGGCGTGGATTTTATAAAGAATATTATTTGAGGACCTATACAAGGCGTGGATTTTATAAATAGTATTTTTTTGAGGACCTATACAAGGCGTGGATTTTATAAAGAATATTTTTTTGAGGACCTATACAAGGCGTGGATGTTTTAAAGAATATTTCTGGAGGACCTATACAAGGCGTGGATGTTTTAAAGAATATTTTTGGAGGACCTATACAAGGCGTGGATGTTTTAAAGAATATTTTTGGAGGACCTATACAAGGCGTAGATGTTTTAAAGAATATTTTTGGAGGACCTATACAAGGCGTGGATTTTATAAAGAATATTTTTGGAGGACCTATACAAGGAGTGGATTTTATAAAGAATATTTTTGGAAGACCTTTACAAGGCGTGGATGTTTTAAAGAATATGTTTGGAGGACCTATACAAGGCGTGGATGTTTTAAAGAATATTTTTGGAGGACCTATACAAGACGTGGATGTTTTAAAGAATATTTTTGGAGGACCTGTACAATGCGTGGATGTTTTAAAGAATATTTCTGGAGGACCTATACAAGGCGTGGATGTTTTAAAGAATATTTTTGGAGGGCCTATACAATGCCTAGGTGTTTTAAAGAATATTTTTGGAGGGCCTATACAATGCCTAGGTGTTTTAAAGAATATTTTTGTAGGACCTATACAAGGCGTGGATGTTTTAAAGAATATGTTTGGAGGACCTATACAAGGCGTGGATGTTTTAAAGAATATTTTTGGAGGACCTATACAAGGCGTGGATGTTTTAAAAAATATTTTGGAGGACCTATACAAGGCGTGGATTTTATTTTTTAAAGAATATTTTTGGAGGACCTATACAAGGCGTGGATGTTTTAAAGAATATTTTTGGAGGACCTATACAAGGCGTGGATATTTTAAAGAATATTTTTGGAGGACCTATAAAAGGTGTGGATATTTTAAAGAATATTTTTGGAGGACCTATACAAGGCGTGGATGTTTTAAAGAATATTTTTGGAGGACCTATACAAGGCGTGGATGTTTTAAAGAATATTTTTGGAGGACCTATACAAGGCGTGGATGTTTTAAAGAATATTTTTGGAGGACCTATACAAGGCGTGGATGTTTTAAAGAATATTTTTGGAGGCGTGCATTGTTTAAAGACTTTTTTAACCACCAACAATCAAATTATCATACCCACTTCGTGATGCGTGTTACGTGCACTTTTTCTTTTGTGTTGTAATAAATTCAATTATGTTCCAAACTCTAAGTCACATTGGTCCATAGCCACAACTAAATGTCCAGACATAAAAGAAGAAAAAACAAATAAGATTTTAAGGAATTGAGGTGAACCAATTTTTTGTTTGTTTTTGTATTTCCTTTATCTCTTGGCTGAGCAAACAATGCTCTGTTACAATCCAATCTTCCAGTTTGTCTGTCTGCCAGTCAGTCATCTGGGTTACCACACAAAATAAATCCTTGTCTATGATATCAAATCGTTTAGGAAATTCTAAGAAGAAAATATTTCTAGAGAGAGGATGATAGGAAGATTTACTCTAAGAGTAAAAGGAGTAGCTGCAATGTAAAGAAGTTATGTGTGTGAAAGTTTAAGTGTGTATCCTGTTGATCCTTTACACACATTCGTATTTCATGCTGAAATGAATTGAAACTGAATGCTGAAAATAGTTTTAGGCTATTGTTTTTGAAATGGGTTATAGGTGTGTGTTGGCATAAGGGAATTATGTCTTAAAAAATTGGAAAAATACAGAGTTTGTAAATAGAAAATTCGATGTTCTTCTATAATCAACAAATAGTTTTATAGACAAAAAGTTTTATCCGCTGCGCCTAGAACCAATTCTCACCAATAATTGTAAAATTACAATTTTGAAAATTGTGTACCATACACATTCAATTCTATTTTGTATTCTTCTTATAATCCTCTTGCATACAATTCAAAATCATAACGAAAAAAATATTTTTTTAAATTTGTTTATTTAAATAAACATTTACATATATATCCTTGTAAGGATATAATCCTCTCCCCAACAATTGATATATGACAGACGGATGTGTATGCATTCGACCATGCATGAGAACAAAATTTTAAATATATTTTTGTTTACTTGGTCAGATGGCATAAAAAAAATACCAAACAAATTCCGGAATTGTTAACAAAAATAAATTCTAGAACTCGAAAAAAATATTCATTTATTCATTAGAAAGTTTGCAGTTTAACACATTTATATTCGAGTGAAACAAAAAGTCAACATCACTTCAGATGCGTAAAATACCACCATGCAAAAAAAAGTTTGATTTTTAAAACTTTTTTTCGGTCGTAAGAGGGGAGAAGCAAGATGTCTTAAATATAAGCCAGTGTTATAAAATGCAAAAGAGGATAATTGATTTTTTTAAAGTTTATAAATAATATTTTCAAGCATTCACAAAAGGCGTAGGTCCTAAAAAAAATATTCTTTTACAATCTACGCCTTGTAAAGGTCCTCAAAAAAATGTTCTTTAACAATCTACGCCTTGTAAAGGTCCTCAAAAAAATGTTCTTTAACAATCTACGCCTTGTAAAGGTCCTCAAAAAAATGTTCTTTAACAATCTACGCCTTGTAAAGGTCCTAAGAAAAATATTCTTTAACAATCTACGCCTTGTAAAGGTCCTCAAAAATATTCTTTAACAATCTACGCCTTGTAAAGGTCCTCAAAAATATTCTTTAACAATCTACGCCTTGGAAAGGTCCTCAAAAAATATTTTTTATAAAATCCACTTCTTGTAGAGGTCCTTAAAAAATATTCTTTATAAAATCCACGCCTAGTATAGGTCCTCAAAAAATATTCTTTATAAAATCCACTTCTTGTATAGGTCCTTAAAAAATATTCTTCATAAAATCCACGCTTTGTATAGGTCCTTAAAAAATATTCTTTATAAAATCCACTTCTTGTATAGTTCCTCAAAAAATATCCATTATAAAATCCACGCCTTGTATAGGTCCTCAAAAAATACTCTTCATAAAATCCACGCCTTGTATAGGTCCTCCAAAAATATTCTTTAAAACATCCACGCCTTGTATAGGTCCTCAAAAAATATTCTTTATAAAATCCACTCCTTGTATAGGTCCTCAAAAAATATTCTTTATAAAATCCAACCCTTGTATAGGTCCTCCAAAAATATTCTTTAAAACATAAATTCTTTATAAAATCCACGCCTTGTATAGGTCCTCAAAAAATAATCTTTATAAAATCCACGCCTTGTATAGGTCCTCAAAAAATATTCTTTATAAAATCCACTCCTTGTATAGGTCCTCAAAAAATATTCTTTATAAAATTCACTCCTTGTATAGGTCCTCAAAAAATATTCTTTATAAAATCCACTCCTTGTATAGGTCCTCAGAAAATATTCTTTATAAAATCCACTTCTTGTATAGGTCCTCAAAAAATATTCTTTATAAAATCCACTCCTTGCATAGGTCCTCAGAAAATATTCTTTATAAAATTCACTCCTTGTATAGGTCCTCAAAAAATATTCTTTATAAAATTCACTCCTTGTATAGGTCCTCAGAAAATATTCTTTATAAAATTCACTCCTTGTATAGGTCCTCAAAAAATATTCTTTATAAAATCCACTTCTTGTATAGGTCCTCAAAAAATATTCTTTATAAAATCCACTCCTTGTATAGGTCCTCAAAAAATACTTACTTACATAGCTGGCTTGTTACAGAACGGTTGTTCCATAAGCCGAGCTTAAAAAAGATTTCCAAGCGCGTCGGTCTTGTGCGCAAGTCCACCAATTTGGAAGACCACGTTCCAAGATGTTGTTTTCTATGGGAACCATCAGTAGGCTCATTTTTATATGCCTTTTGAGCTGGGGCATTTTCATTCATCCGCACAACATGCCCTAGCCACCGTAGCCGCTGCAGCTCAATACGACTCACTATGTCGATGTCCGCGTAGAAATTGTAGAGTTCGTGGTTCATTCGACGCCGATATTGACCGTCGACGCATATCGGCCCGTAGATCTTTCGGAAAAATTTTCTTTTAAACACCCCAAGATCTGCCTCATCTGCTTGTGCAAGTACCCATGCTTCAGATCCATATAATAGCACGGGTAGTATCAGCATCTTGTAAAGTGTGAGTTTGGTCAGGCGGGAGGTGGCCTTGCTTTTGAGTTGTTTGCTTAGACCATAGTAGCATCGGTTGGCCATCACAATCCTTCTCCGAATTTCAAAACTGATGTCATTCGTTTTATTTATGGCGGTACCAAGGTATATAAAATTTTTAACTACCTCGAAGCTGTAGTTCTCAAGTTCCACAGTTGTTCCGAGTCTACTGGACGTCTTGCGCGTTGATACCATCAGCTTGGTCTTCTCGCCGTTTACTGCCAGACCAACTTTGGCAGACTCCTTCTCAATTTGTTCAAAGGAGGTTGTTACCGCTCGCAATGT